TTGCTTGGAGAGGTGCCAAACAGACTATTTGTTCGTGGAGCTGATGCCTTCTGCTTCATTACGAGTCTATCGATTTTAAAGTCTATGCTTTTGAGCAGAAAATCTAGGTGAGGAGGTGACGAAATGATGGAGGCAAGAAAGTAACTAGTAGTTTAATGTTACTGGACATTTTAGTTATTTATTTATTTAAACAGTATCGATACAAACAATGATGTTTTGACTAGTTGTAAGTGAATTTGTGAGTGACTTTTTTAAACGTTCATAAAGTTTTTACCTGACCAAGTTGGTAGAGAGAGATTTTCTGATATAGCATTTTAAACACGTTTTTTCTGAGTAATAATTTTCACAGATCAGCCGGTTGAAAGTAACCTGTATCTCCTGTGACTCCCTAACTAAGTCTGTCCACCTTGTAGGTGAACTTCTTACATTGAAAACACACAATTAAACCACTAAAGCGATCAAGTACAGACCCATCAGCATACTAATATGATAACCTAAATCTCAGTAACTGTTTTCTATAAATAATTCAAAGAACAAAACGGCATATAGTTGCGTGGGGCGATCTTAATCCTTTCGGACGAGGCTGATTGTGTTTTGATGCGGGACTCAACGGACGAATCTCGAGCCGGGGCCGTGGACACAGGCCGATTTTTAATATATAAGTTTTAGCGGATAGATGGGAAATACGTATCCTCTGTATTTAAACGTATGATGAGACGTTTAGAAAATGCTTTTTACTACGAAAAGAAGTCTAATAAAGAATGGCATGGTTAAATAAGCCTGCCATGATGCACAGTCGAAAGTTAGGTTGGTTTTAGTGTCGCATGTCGCGCTGACGACCCACGCACCATCAGCGCTGAGGGGACAAGATATATGACATCTAGGAAGCGTTTTTGAATGACATGTAGCTATCACCGCGCACGGTGGTCAGCGCTGACCACCAAGTTCAGATATCTCGGACATCAACGCTGATGGTAGCTTAGTGTCTACATGTTGAATAACTTAAATACCAATTTTTGTATGAAAGCACTCGTCAGGTATTATATTCATTATGTTTTACGACAGCTATACTCTACGTCAACTATAGCTCATAATCAACTTGAGTACGCTTGAGTAAGGCGTAAAACATAATTAACTTACACACTCAAGAAAATACAATACAAAGCATACCAACCTTTGTGATCGTTCCATTCTATCGCGAATTTCCTATACATTGCGCCATATCTTAAGAGCGGGATTACCCAGGATTTTTTCCCACTAAGCTGGACGTAATTGGATACCAAATTGACCGTACAAGGGGAACGTTTCGACGGGCATCGACTCGTTTGTTTTAGATATTACAATAAATTCACCCACTATGTATGTACTTTGCTTTTCATTTTATTTATTTCGACGTATTACTGGGGGCATAAGGTTTATTATTGGGTCACGTGTGTTCGTTTGAAGGTTACGTGTTTTTATTAAATCTTTGGATAAGCATATTGTTCACAGATTTGTAAAAACAAACTTAAGATTTTAAGTAGTAAACATACTTTCTTTGAAGATATATACACTAATTTAGCTAAACTAAGGGCAATTACTACGAAACCTATGAGGTGGTAAACAGCATTCATGCTTGCCCAAATTCTGGTAGGGCAAACATTTTTAATAAATTAATGTTTAGACCCTAGATATAGATGTTGCTAATGTGATTTTTACAGAACTGGGCGGTGTTGTTTCTGCGAGACATAGCGCTTTAAACAAACTAAAAAACCTACGCAGTACTTCTTAATAAGGATAATTATAACCTTATAAAATATAAAAATTAAAAGTTATGAACCCATGACCATCCCGTGACCGTCCTCGGCAAACCTGGCGGCTTACTGGGGTGGCAGAAGCGGCTGGCATTAGATAGAATGACGTAGAGCGAGGTAAAGCGAGAAGCGAGGTAAAGATCGAGATGGAGGAACTCTGTGGACGCCCTCTGCTCCATCTAGGGGGCATAGGACCTTACGTCAAGTAAGCCACTCATAATTTTGATAATCTAAAAACGAGTAACGCCGCGGACAGCGGTTAGTCTACAAGAAATCTCAGTTTGTTTGTTGCACTAACGTTGCCCCATTACTAGGATTTCCTTCTGTGTCATGGGTGCGTTTACAAACATACATGACACCCAGACCAATTTTGGATCACACAAAGAGTTGCTTCATGCTTGAATCGAAAAACATTGCGCGGCAGCCGGTGCGCAGTCACTGCGCCAACCGTACAGTAAGCACATAAGTATTTAGATTTCATTAACGTCACTCTCAGCGATTCGTAATATTTTTACAAGTCACTTTCGTAAAAACCGAGACCTCTTGTTTGGTGGGGTTTTGACCACACAATCAACTACTAGTCTAACACAATCACCTAGTCACCTACTTACAAATATTTATTGGAAGTAACACTCTGAGGTGAGATACGATACACGAAACACTGGAATTTAATTAAGTAAACACAAATTTCACTGCATTACACTTAAAACAGAAACAATACTCTTGTAGAGCTGGGAACTCTATGCAGTTTGAGTTGGTTTAGTGATGGGGCCGTTTTATTTCCTTTAGTAATATTGTGGTTGATAATATGAGCCCCTAGTATGAGTAGAATTTATCGCAGAGAACCTAACGGGTAACCGGGGCTCCGGCTCGACGTGCAGGAGAAGGAACGGGGTGGTTTTTAGTCAGTAAGAGTCTGACGCTCCCTCCCGCCTCACCCGGGCGGGAGCACTCATTCGATGATTTACCCCCTTAAAAAAAGTGTGTGTGGAATTTAGTTAAGTAACTTCGTCAAACAGTCTTGCAAGGAAGCCGGTAAATACAAGTAAAACAAACAGTTGTAAGCCATTACCCTACTCTGGGTAACTACCCAGCCATCGCAACAACTGTACAATATTTACTTTTTTTTAAGCGGGGAAATCATCGAATGACGTCTCCCGCCTGGGTGAGGTGGAAGGGAGTGTCAGACTTTTACTGACTAAAAACCACCCCGTTCCTACTCCTGCACTTCGAGCTGGAGTCCCGGTAATTCGTTAAGTCTTCCTTGGCTCGTGCACTTTTGACTGACACCAAAATAAAGCGTGATAAATAAGTTACATAAAACAATGTAACACACATGATAATGTATGCATGTTATTAATTTCAATTTGAATATTTATCTCGACTACAACAAATAAATTTTATGCAAATTGGTCCCATTTTAATTACACAATTTTTTTATCGACCATAACTAAATACCACACAATAAAATTCTGCTCCATTTCCCAGCACTATTGGTTGTTCTCTCACCTCCCTACTTACAGAATGCAACAAGCATTTTTCTTTCAAAATGTTCCCATCCGGTGGAAAATTCTCCCTAGAGCACACACATTTTGCGGCCTTTCTTTCTGAATATACTCTTGCGAGGTTAAATGTAGCAGGTTTTCAGTTAGCGTTGACTTATGGGGTTTTCATACATACAAAATATTACGGATGTTATTTCTCTCAAGAAGAAAGTAGATACAGCTATATTTTCTTCATCAGTCATGTCTAGCCCAATATCAAGCCTCAATAACAGAGAGATAAAGAAAGGCATTTTAAGTGTGAGAGAGCCATGCTTCGGCATGAATGGACCGGCTCGACCGGAGTGATAGTGCTAGGCCGTGGGCCTCACAGAAGACCGACGTGAAACAACGTTGTGTTGTGTTTCGTGTTGTAAAAGCTTTTCTGAAAACCGCAACAAAATCGATTCAGCCAATCCCTAGATAATTGCGCACAAACATACATACATATATGTCAACTGAGTTCCTCCTTTTTTGAAATCCTTACTTAATATTATAAATCGGAAAGTGAGTTTCTTTACTTGTTTGTTTGTTCCGCTTTCACGCCGTAACTACTAAACCGATTGCTTTGAATTTTTGCAGACGTAAAGTAAGAAGTCCGGATTAAATAATAGGGTACTTTTTATCCCGGAGAAATTTGATATTCCCGAGGGAAAACAAAAGTATTGGTATAGATGGGGCTGTTTGTATTAGCATAGGCTACTTTTATCCTTTTGTGACGCGAGCGAAGCCGCGGGTTAAAGCTAGTCAGTTATACTTCTGAATTTGACCCGAATAAACTCTAATTTTGTGTTCTACGACTACTAAATTAGACTAGAAAATCACCTGTTTGTATTGTTTCATAAGAAAACTAATAGTTACAAACAGAAAAACCAATCAAATCCCTCTCAACACGAAACATCAAATGGCAAAAATAGGAGAAATATTTGAGAAAATCTTTATCTGCTTTTTATTGCGTAGTTTAGGGTCGCAATGCGCTATTACTGGCAACATATCGATAACACTCCGATAAATTTTGCGAACAATCTGCTGGTACCATAATGGACTAAGAGCCAGCGGCCCGCAGACCTTCGGTAAAGTATAAAACCTGTAAGTTTCTCAAAGTATGTCCCCAACACAGGTAAGAACGAATCCCGTCTATGTAACTTGGGTCGCGGTGGCTTTCGCAGGTATCAGGTAATAAAGGTGTGTAAAATTGTGTGTTAAATTTGGTAAAATATAAAACTCAGTTTTTACATATTTGACTTATAATAATCCCAAAAGTCATCTTGCCGAAAGCCAGACACTTCGTACAGTTCCAACCCTCTGCCAGACACCCTTAAAGTATATTTAATTGTTACTATACTTACGGTATAGTATAAAATCTGCAATTTATATAATATGTTATTTGGATAACTATAAAATAATGTTTCTTCAATAGCCAGACAGTTTCTGTGGTTCCTTTATGTTGCCAGGCACATAAAAAGTCTAATGTAGGTGCGAGCGTGAGGGATATATTAGTCAGCGGGTGCGAGTGAAATAGCGCGTTCGGTCCCTTGCGACGTTTTACTGCGCATCAACTGTCATTTATTGTGTATTATGTGGTGAATAGTCATACGTACAAGAAACGTTTTATTATTGTTTTGTTCAATTTATAAAATAATAATAAGGGAATATCAGTGTGATCATGGAAGGACAATTAATTTGTTTTCTGTGTAAGAAAAGTGATGGAAAAATAATATTGTTTTCTGAAGGAACATTAAAAAAATGTCAAACTATTTTAAAGGCGAGGAAAATACATAACCTCCAACATAACAGCGTTATTTTACCAAATGAATATACAGACGGTGGTTATCACCGCGAATGTTATAAAATATTCACAGGACTGCATAGCCAATATTATTCTTTAGAACCGATAATTTCAAAAATAAAAAAAAGTGTTAAGAATCAAACAACTAGTGTAATTACAGACGACTCATCTGCTACCACGCCATTGACACTTGAATTAACAACAAAGTCAATACCCGAACCTTCAACAACATCAGACCATAGTTCATCTTCTCAATCAACGGAACCACAACCTTCAACTTCTCAAGAACAGTCTCATTCACCACCTTCATTCACAGAATCTTTCTCAATATCACAACCAACCTTTGATTTTGAATCAGGAGCATCACAATCTACATCTTATCCAGAAAATCCGGATGTTTCAGCATCACATGTAAGTGAACATGATGATGCAAGTCAGGGTATAAATATACAGTTGATGCGCAGTAAAACGTCGCAAGGGACCGAACGCGCTATTTCACTTGCACCCGCTGACTAATATATCCCTCACGCTCGCACCTACATTAGACTTTTTATGTGCCTGGCAACATAAAGGAACCACAGAAACTGTCTGGCTATTGAAGAAACATTATTTTATAGTTATCCAAATAACATATATAAATTGCAGATTTTATACTATACCGTAAGTATAGTAACAATTAAATATACTTTAAGGGTGTCTGGCAGAGGGTTGGAACCGTACGAAGTGTCTGGCTTTCGGCAAGATGACTTTTGGGATTATTATAAGTCAAATATGTAAAAACTGAGTTTTATATTTTACCAAATTTAACACACAATTTTACACACCTTTATTACCTGATACCTGCGAAAGCCACCGCGACCCAAGTTACATAGACGGGATTCGTTCTTACCTGTGTTGGGGACATACTTTGAGAAACTTACAGGTTTTATACTTTACCGAAGGTCTGCGGGCCGCTGGCTCTTGCTCTATAAATAACTAGAGCTTCGACCCAAATATGGCTGTTTACGCTAATAACCCACGAAATAATTTTATTGTACTGTATGTGACAAAAATGTTTAATGCCCGTTTAAGTCGTGAATATGAAAAATTATGTCTAGACTAGGGTTAGTGGCAGAACAAGTGAATCCAAACTAATCTAGTGAACTTATTCACTTTAGTTTTTTAAGTGTGATCAGTCAACTGGCGTACCTAACTTTTTTCTGGGGGAAAATCATCGAATGAGTTCTCCCGCCTGGATGAGGCGGGAGGGAGTGTCAGACTTTTACTGACTATAAACCAACTCGTTTCTACTCCTGCCCTTCGAGCCGGAGCCCCGGCAATCCGTAAAGTCCTCTGTGGCTCCATGTCAGAATGAGCCCTATTGGGCCCAATCCGTGGTAGCATACCTTACTAGCATAATGTTACACTTTTGAACCACCGTAGAATTAAGCAAATTAATGGGCGTAAACCAGTACAATATTACACTTTTCAGCCCCCGTGGAAGAGGGCAGAAGCGCATATCTACAATGAAACCTGACACATCTAACTTGCGGTACCTAGACCAACGAAGCATTCCCTTTTTCGCATCCCCGAAATTTATTTTAATCTCACTTTTAAGCGTTTTGAGAGCAATCATAAGCGAGTGTTCCAAACTTGAAGTTAAGTTGGCAACAGTGCTTAATGTAAAGAGGGCTGCGCATGACAAAAATATGAAAAAACTTGGCCAATACCGGAGTATTGCCAGCCTCCGACTTTTTATAAGGAATACTTTCGATTGCCCTCGCGATAAACTTCTTTCTGCAATAAAAGTTTCTGACTATTTCAGAAATGTGAAGTATTGAAATACGTCATTTATTTATTCAGATTAAATTGATGAAACAGTTTTATAAGATACAAAGACTTCAATACAAATGATTAGAAGAACAGAGACATTTGTTTGTTAATACGAGTATTTTTTGTTAGATTAGCTGTTTCGTTGATACAAAGGTATGAGGCTAGCTGCGATAAGCACAGTTTTGTCTGCAGCTAATACCTAATATTTACTTAGAAATACAACAATTGTACTCTTATTCTATGGACACACCTCTGCCTACCTTCAAGTACTAAAAGGCGTGACTTAAGTAAGCACAACAATTTAATTCGATCTCCAAAAAGGTTTCACTGCAAAAAAAACTCCAAGATAAAACTTAATCTGAGAGAAAGTTATGCGGAAAAATATTCATAATTCCCGTATATATCCTGTATTCTGTGAAAACAAATAAACTCGTGGCTCGTGGGTTATCTGACAAAGTTTCGGAGGAACCTTCGGTTTCAGTTGGTCGCCATTGAATATGAATAAAGGTCTAAAGGATGTATTGTTTTCGTTCCCAACTTTTCGTTTATATTTTGAAATGTTTTGACTTGCATAAGAATGTTGGGAATATCTCGAACTTCAGTTTTCTTGAAACAAAAAGCAATGAATATTAATTGTGTTTTGTGTATGTAGACTTTTTATGATAATGCTAGATGGTTTCGGGTATATCTTTTCTTTTTTTAGTGAGAACTATATTGGATGACTAAAATTAGTTACTTTGGGTCCTTCAATATGATTGTTAGTCATTCAATATATATAGTTCGATTACGCAACGTGGACTTTGCGTCATTTAATAAATGCATGTATTCTTCACAAACAATAGGTGACCTACAAGTTGGCGACACAGGCGCCTAGAGTGGGGACTCTAAACGCCCACCCAGTGACCTCAGGGAAGACGGTGGCACAGTGGTCACGTTCCATCGTGCATATCACGAGTAGACTAGTGTCTACTGTGTACTGTCTTAGGCCTACTGGCCTAAAACATACTGTGATTAGTGATTACTCAACTCGAAGTTTTAATAACCTAAACAACGTATCTTTTATGGAATAGGAAACAAACGAGCAGACTGATCACCTGATGGTAAGCGATCAGCAGATATTGCTTAATTGTTTGAGGACCAAAAAGGAAACACTGGTCACAATTTACAAATCTTGAATGCCCTTACTTTTGCTTATTAAGTTATTTCTATAGCGTCTATCTAACCAATCGTCTTTACGGTTCTGAAACATATCAAAAGAGCATTTCAACAAAATGTCGTCGTTCCTTGCTTCGAAACAGTACGTTCCTAATACACAAGGTCAACACACAGCGTAACAAATTAACTTAAAGACTCAAGCGTGCTTGTTAAGGAAGTTCATTAGACAAGAACTTACTGAGATACTTGCTCATTTTTTCAGAGATCCTTGAGTGTAATACAGAAAATATGGTCGCCAAATTAATGTTCGAATTTCTTATTACGTAGTATTCTTTTTTAACACATGTAGGGATAGACAACTAAGCAAAGATCTGCTGTTTTGCAAGAATGGGTCATCTGTATAATTTTTTTGAATGCGTTGTTCAATTAGCCCTGATAAAGTGAAGTCTATATGTTGTATTAAATAACCACCGATGATTTTCCCTAATACAAAAATGGCAGAATTTGTCCTTACGAATTTGAACCTACTATTTTCTAAATATTAAATCGACTAAACAGGTCTCTTTTTTTATTTTTTTAGTTTTAATCATCTTGTTTACAAATTGATCTCCGCTAGTTTTAGGTTTAAAAGTTTTATATAAACTGAGCTTCGCCTGAACGGAACTAATTTGTACTATAAAATGATTATGAAATAGTCAGTTGATTAACTTTAACGTAGTTATTGGAAAACTGTTTGTAATTTAATTTGGAAATGTGTAGTGACTAAATCATAAATATATCGTCACGCCTTTTAATGTCAGAAGTGATAGTCAGAGGTTCACACATAGTATATAACAGCTACTTTTCACAAGTTATGTTATGAAACCGATGTAATATAGGATAAGCATATCGTCGGTCGTCGTATTTGCGACCATTTGATCAGCGATTCAGACAAATTTAAATGGAATAATTAATAAAGAAGACACCAATAATACCCATATCAAACTCATCCACAGCAAGAAAAAATAATACGAAAAACTAAACTTACACTCATATCCAAGACATCCCAAAGCCTTCGTATTCGGTATGTTAATTATAAAAATCTTTAAAAATCTCGAATAAGTTCCGCTAATTAAATTTTACGGCGCACCCACACCTGAGCCCAAAGATATTGCGAACTGCACTCCATTTTAGTTATAAAAAAGGTAAAAAACAGATGTAACTGTCTTCTTTATTAGTATTTGTGTGTAACCAACTTAGAGTAAGCAGCTTAGGAATACTAAAACTTGGGATAAGTAGATAAACACATGTACTTTAGTAATTAGGGTAGCGCTCTTTGTGGATACCCTAGAGTTCTATATACAGTGGATATTACACAAAACTTGGGGTAGTGTCTAATATAAGTTGAACTCTTATTTTTAATTGCATTTTCTTTGTAGTTGGGTAAGTATCAAAGGGCTTGAACTGTTTGCGTTTGGACATGATGAGGATCTGAATAGGGCTGGTTTTTGTAGGAAGTATTAGTTTTAATCCTTGGTCCTTTTGGACATTGGAGTTTTTAATGTTAAGTCGTGATAAATCGAATAGCTCTGAACGTATAACGAAAACGTATAAGTAGGTATCCTAGATTAAGTCTTGACTTTTCGGTAAAATGCCATGTTTCCTCACGAATTGGCTGGCTCGACCAGAGTGATACCACGGCCTCACAAAAAACCGACGTAAAACCACGCTTGCGTTGTGTTTCCTTGTGTGAGTGAGGGTACCAGAGGCCAATTATCCCCCGTCCCCAGTTTCCCCAATCCCCAATTCGTTCACAATCCTCAAATTCCCAACTTCCAAAAGGCCGGTAACGCACTTGTAACGCCTTGGTGTTTTAGGTGTCCATGGACGGCGCCGATTGTTTACTGTACAGTCTTAAACTGTACACGCTGTATATGGGTAGTGCTGATGCGGCAACTATGTCGCGTCGCGCGTTCGTAATTTAAGTATAAATAGTCATCGATTAAGTAAACTCTGTGTGTGCTAATAAACCAACGATAGAGAAAGGAATCGCCAACCTTCAACTTGTATAACTTAACTAATAAACGTATCATAAGTGATTCTTTCTCTTTGCACTCATCAACTCAACTGACTTAACTTCAAGAAGCAAACATCTTTACCAGCGAACCTAAGCAAGGTGTACTTAACCGTACATTTTATGGTCCTTCGAGCCGGATACTATAGTGTCTTAATACAGTAGCGAATCGGTGCAGCTGGCCTCTCAGAAGCGAGAATCCCCAGTTGTATTGAGAAGGCGCTCATACTGTAGAGAGTGCTAGAGTATTTGGACGTGAACACGCCACATTCAAGTAACTCGTCGCTGTGCTGCAGCAACTAACGAAGACGACTCTTCGATAACTCTTCGCCGAACCAGGTGAATCAACTTTAACTATAACTAGAAACACCAAGATGGACAAACTTGAGCTCCAGTCATCGTGTTTTAATAATATCAAGACCTTGTGTGTTAACTATCGCAAGGACTCTTCAGTCCGCAAAACTGTGGACTACTTAAACAAACGGCTATCTTCTCT